TCTAGCGTAAATGTGAGGAGGCCAGTGAAGAGGCTTTGGCCATAGTCTAAATATGTGATGGTAGTAGCTTGAATTGGAGTAGTGATAATGGAGATGGAGATCATTAGGCAGATATAAGATGTTCTGGCACACATGTTCTGTGGTGGTCCCTAATGAGTCACACTCTTATAACTCCCTCCCCTTGAGTATGACTTGCTTTTGACAATTAGAATATGTCAAAGGTAATAGGATGTTACTCCCTTCATTAATTTTCCTTATATGGCAAAGATGATGGAATGTCACACCTATGATTGTATGTATATATAAGATTCTATCTCAGGAGACTGGAGAGAGAGATTCTCCTCCTAGCCTTGAAAAAGTAAGCTGCTGTGTTGTGAGAGGATTTGTGACAGAGCCATATGACAAAGAACTCCACGTGACCTATAGGAGTTGAGGGCCTCAGTCCTGGAGTTGCAAGAAACTTAATTCTGCCAGCAACCATGTAAGCATGGAAAAGGACTTCAAGCTCCAACCCTGATAATAGCCTTGTGAGACCCTGAGCAGAGGGCCCAGCTAATAATGTGACCAGACCCCTGACCTATAGAAACTGTGAGATAATAGATGTCTGTTGGTTTAAACAACTATATTTGTGGTAATTTATTATGCAGCACAGGAAACTAATAGAGATTTTGGTACCCAGAGTATAGTCCTGTTGTATTAAATACCTAAAGATGTGGAAGTGGCTTTGGAAAGAGGCAATAGGCAGAAGCTGTAAGAATATTGAGGAGCATGATCATGAAAGCCTAAGTCACCTTGAACAAATTGTTACCAAAAGTCTGGACTTTAAGGATGCTACCAGTGAGGGCTCAGAAGGAAGCGAGGTAACCTTTCACCTTAACACACTAGAAAAAGAAGAGCAAACTGAACCTAAAGCAAAGAAAAACAAGGAAATAATAAATATTAGAGTGGAAATTGATGAAATAGAGACTAGAAAAACAATAGAGAAAAATCAACAAACCCAAAGTTGGTTCTTTGAGAACATCAAATGAAATTGACAAGCTAGAGAGAAAGAGAAAACTCAAATCAGGTATGAAGGAGAAGACATTACTACTAGGAACAATGGTATGCCTTGATGAAATGAACAAATTTCTAGAAAGACACAAACTACTGAAACTGACTCAAGAAAAAACAGAAAATCTGAATAGACCTATAACAAGTAAAGAGATTAAGTTAGTAATCAAAAAACTACCCACAAAGAAAAGTCTAGACCCATAGGACTTCCCTGGTGAATTCTACCAAAAATGTAAAGAAGTAACACCATTCTTCACAAACCCTTCCAAAAAATAAAAGAGGGAGGGAACACTTCCCAACTCATTCTATGAGGACAGCATTATACTGATACCAAAAACAGGCAAAGACATAAAAAGAAAAGAAAACTGTAGGCCAATATCTCTTATCTTCAGGAAAATACTAGCAAACAAAATCCAGTAACATATAAAAAGAATTATACATCATGACCGAGTAAGGTTTATCCCAAGAGTGTAAGATTGGTTTAACATCAGAAATTCAATTTAAAAAATCAGTCAAATCCATATAAACAGAATAAAGAGCAAAAACCACTGGATCACTTCAATATATGCAAAAAAAGCATTTGACAAAATGCAACACTGCTTCATGATAAAAACACTTAAACTAAGGAATAGAAGGGCATTTCTTCAACATGGTAAAGGGCATCTATGAGAAGCCCACAACTAACATATTTAATGATGAAAGACTCATGCTTTTCCAGTAAGATCAGTGATAGGACAAGGCTGTCTGCTCTCACTGATTCTATTCATTATTGTACTAGAGGTTCTAGACAGGACAATTAGGAAAGAGCAAAAACAAACAAACAAACAAACAAAAAATGGCATCCAGATTGGAAAGGAAAAGTTATCTGTATTTGCAAAAAAAAATGATCCTGTGTATAAAATCCTAAGGAATACAGTAAAAACTATTAGAATTAATAAAGTACTTCATCAAGGTTGCAGGATAGATCAATGTACAAAAATCAGCTGTATTTCTATACACTGGCAATGAACAATCTGAAAGTGAAATTAAGAAACAATTTCATTTATCATAGCATCAAAAAGAATGAAATATTTAGGAATAAATTTAACAAAAGAAATAAAAGATTTGTACATGGAAACTAGAAAACGATGTTGAAAGAAATGTAAAAAAGATATAAATAAATGGAAGGACATCCCATGTTCACAGACTGGAATACTTAAAAGATGGTGATACTCTCCAAAGTGGTCTACAGATTCAACTCAATCCCTATCAAAATCTCAGTTGATGTCTTTATAGAATTCACGAGCAGATCCTAAAATTCATATGGAAATGAAAGGAACTAAGAATAGTTAAAACATTCTTGATAAAAAATAAAGTTGGAGAACTCACACTTCTCAATTTCAAAACTTATTACAAAGGTACAGTAATCAAACTGTGACATAAGCATAGGCATATACATCAATGGGATCAAATTGAGAATCCAAAATAAAGTCTTAATTTACAGTCATTTGATTTTTGACAAAAAATTCAAAGGGGGAGAAAACAGTCTTTTCAGATGGTGCTGGGACAATTGAATATTCACATGCAAAGGAATGAAGTTGCACTCCATTCTCACCATAAACAAAAATTAACTCAAAATAGGTCAGAATCGAAATCTAAGAGCTAAAACTATAAAACCTATTAGAAGAAAATATATGTCTTAGATATGATACCAAAAGCATGAGCAATAACAAAAAAATCGATATATATTGGACTTCATCAAAATTAAAAATGTTTGTGCATCAAAGGCCATTATAAAGAAACTGAAAGGACAACCGGCAGCCCTGGCTGACATCAGAATCACCCTGGTTTTATTGGGGCCCCACCCAATGAGATTCTCAGTCAGTCAGCCGTGCTATCTGTGCTCCATGGCTGATTCTGAGGCTTAGCTAGAGGTGATAACTGCTACTCTGGCTGCCCTAAACCACCTGCAGCCTCCTCAGTGGGCCACATCCTCTCATACCCACAGTTCCCTTTACCACAGTGGCCTTCCTTCACCTGACTCATATCAAACTCTGCTGAGATGTCGTCTTCTCCAGGCAGCTCTCCCTGGCATGCCTTCCCACCCACTTTCCCAGATCTTTGTCAGTTGTCTTTCCCGTGTGCTGCCCTGGGCCCCTCAGCTTACCTCTATCTTTCAACTTATTACACTGTATTTGTCAGTTTACTTGTCACTTTCCCATATTAAACTAAGAGTCCTTGAGGACAAACCTTTCAATCCTAAGACTACTGGTTAGTATACTTTCTAAAACAAAGAAAAACAACCGTTGCCATCGAGTTGATTCCAACTCATAGGAACCCTATAGTATACTGTGTAGCACATAGCAAGTGCTCAAGTGTTTGTTGAAAGAATGGATGAAGGAATCCATTCCTATTTTCTTTGTGCTGTCTCAGATCCTCGTAACTTAAAAGGCAGGAATAATTTTCCTTGTTTTTATATTCACCCTGGCCATTCTCCATGACCCTTTCCTAACATTTTCATCACCATTCCTAATTTATAGTATCAGCCAAGATTGTCCTGGGGATCAACCCATTACAACCCTTGGTTTAGGTCTTGACTTTGCTATTTACCAGTTTCAGGCCTTAGGAAAATTACTTAACTTTCACGAACCTCAGTTTCCTCATCTGTAAAATGGGGATGATAATAGTAGTTATCTCATAGTGTTATTGTCAGGCCCAGTAAAATAGTATTTGTAAGGTGCCTGGCCTGTGGTAGGTGTTTATTAAGTGCTAGTTCCCTTCTTTTGGGAGGCCCCCTGGCGTAATCAAAACGAAAGTCAAAACCGTTGCTGTTGAGTTGATTCTGACTCATAGCGACCCTATAGGACAGAGTAGAATTGCCCATAGGGTTTCCCAGGAGAGGCTGGTAGATTCAAACTGCTGACCTTTCAGTTAGCAGCCAAACTCTTAACCACTGCACCACCAGGGCTCTCATGGCATAGTAGAAAGAGCTAAATCCTCTGGTTGCAAAGCCCAGTTCTGCTACTTTGTTGTTGTTTTTACGTACTGTCAAGTTGGTTCTGACTCATAGGGACCCTATATGACAGAGTAGAACTGCCACATAGGGTTTCCAAGGAGCAGCTGGTGGATTTGAACTGCTGACCTGGTTAGCAGCTGAGCTCTTAACCACTATGCCACTGGCTGTGTATTTGGTCAGCTTATGAATCTCAGTAGCCTCATTTGGAAAATAAGCATAATATTGATTGTCCTTATACAGTTGTTGTGAAAATTAGATAAAATTTATGTTAAGTATCCAGCTAATGCTTGGCATCTAGTAGGTGCTCAGTAAAATGGTAGTTATTATTATTATGAGGAGTAATAATATACTACAGTGTTTTTCCTGCTTTCCATGATCTACAAACACTACTTATTGTCCCTAATATTACTAACGGTCAAAATGATTTTGGCTATACTTCAATTTTCTATTTTACATCCTGAAAAAATCCTGAGTCACCTGTAAATGCACCCATTATATGGAAGCTCCCTTTTGATCAGATTTCTTTCCAGTGCTGCCCTCTCTGGCAACTGGCCTTCAGAAACCTGGGTTTATATTCTTTTTTTTTTTTTAATTGTACTTTAGGTGAAGGTTAACAGAACAAATAGTTTCTCATTAAACAGTCAGTACACATAATGTTTTATGACATTGGTTAACAACCCCACGACATGTCAACCCTCTCCCTTCT